GGAAGAGAGACTAGGGAGGATGGATATTTTAAAGCAACTTGAGTGAGAGATAATAATGCATAGACTATGGGTTGTAGAAAAAGGGACAATTTTATAGGTAGGAAGGTAAAATTGATTAGACTTTGTGACTTAAGATAGGGGGATAAAGGATTTTGCAGAGATTCTGTCACTGGATAGAGAATTAGAATATAGGGATTCTAAAGATTTTGTGTCTGAGCAGAGAGGTTGTTTCGGGGTGTGATTTCTATGGGTGAGCTGTCAGCATAGGTTCCCAGCACCACCAACAGGGTTCCCCTTGGGCATTCCCTGCTTTCAGGTTAAATCCAGTGCTTTCTCTTCTGCTTTATCTCACTGAGTACTTCCCTTTCTTCTGTGTGTGTGTGTATATGTGTGTGTGTGTTAATCACTCAGTCGTGTCCAACTCTTTGTGACCCCATGGGCTGTAGCCCACCAGGCTCCTCCATTCGTGGAATTTTCCAGGCAAGAAGAGTGGGGACCAGCCCTCCTTCTCTAGGGGGTCTTTCTGACCCAGGGACTAAACCTGGCTCTCCTAACTTGCAGGCAGATTGTTTACTGTCTGAGCTACTGGGGAAGCCCTTTCTCCTCCATGCATCCCTAGTAATCTCTCAGAGATCCCAGCTAATAATGTAGGTATCCCTTAAGTTTTCTCTTCCTTCTTTGAACATTAGCTAGTTTCCTATAGCTCAGTGCCTCAAACCAAATATATTTAAATACATAGAAAATCGTACAGGGAGAACCCCTCCTTTTTGGGAGTCCCTTCATTGAGGCCCAAGACACTTGAGATTTGTTTGTTGGCCAGGGCCATATTCTGAAGAGCTTAGAGCCTACACCAAGATAATTTTCTAGAATTGGATTCACTTAGGTAGATCTCAGAACAAGCCGCAAAGAACTGAAGGGGATATTTGATCAATATTAGCCAGTCAGAACATAGTGCTAGAGATTTACTTCGCCCTGACATTTCAAATTTTGGGTTCCCACTAGAGAATCCTCAGCATATGGACCCTTGGCTCCTTTGGGGTACAGAGACTAAGGCAGGACCAGTTCACTTTGTGGACTGGCCCAGGAAATATATAATCAGATATATAGGTCAGCACCAACCTTAATCCTAAGGAGCCCTCATCTGGGAACTGTGATTTTTACTAAGTTTATTTAAGAGGGTGGTGGACATGTACACAGCTTTGCTGTGTATATTTTGTGTATATTTTTGATCATTAGTTCCCGGAGTGAAAATAGGACCACATGCTTTGGAAGTCTAGACTGGAAACCTGTTTAGCTGGGCAGTCCTGAAGAATTTATCGGCTCTTTAAAATTTTGCTAATCAGGGCTTGACCTGATTATAGAACTGAAATTTGTCAGCAGTTTGTGACTCCTTAGGCCTGCCTTGCAGCTTGTCAAGTCTGATTTAGACTGCGCGGCAGCTATGTCTTAGCACATCAGTAAAGTGAGTGTGTCTCTGCCAGGCCGCTCCCTCCTCTAGGGCGCGTGTTCCTGTGGGAAGAAGGAGAACCACCTCCCATCACCCATCATTCCCTGCTGCATGTAATTTCTGAGGAGTTTATAGAGGACAGGGGAAAAAGAGACTTTGCTACTAGAACAAAGTGTTTTCCTCATGAAACAGATCCAGGTTGTCTGACCATATACCAGCCTCTTCGTGTTGCTCCTGGCTTTACTTAGTGGTAGAGAAAGAAGCGTCAAAAGCTTATTCCTGCATAAGTCAGGCTTGGGTCAACCTATCCTTTGCACCCTGTGGATGTGATTGTTAACACTGGAATAAAAGGCGGGCATGTGTTGGTTCTGACCCAGCCACTCTCTGGTAGTGACATCTGAAAAGGCAGGCCAGGTTTGGAGCGGGCACATTCTTTGCTTCTGAGCCAATTGCATCTAGCCCCAAGGAAACGTGGATTGGTTTGTGTGAGAGGAGAGAGCTGCGATTGGCGAGTGCGTCCCTGTCTTTGTGCGACAGCTCTCAGATGCGTTAGCTGAAGACGAGTTTTGTGTGCCATGTGGTCCTCTGACTAACCCACCCATTTGGATCCCCTTTAGAGCTCCTGCAGCTCTGAACCTTCCCACCACTCTGCGTGAGTGTCAGTGTCTCATGTTGAATTTCCATCTTGACTCATCTGTCTCTAGGCGAAGATCCCTGCAAAGATTTAAATTGGGAACCAGACCTTGAGAATGTCTGTTCAGAGCATTTCACAGCTTCTGGATAAATGCATTTTCCTTCTTAACCCAATCTGTTTTCCTAATTCTGTCCAGCTGGTTCTTGAACAGCCCTGCTTTGAGAAAGCTGCCCAGCTAAGGTGGATGCTTGTACTGGCTCTTACCTCCCAAGGCACTCCTATCCTTTTCGGCCTGCCCAGGATTCCCAAGAAGGAGATCCATGGTGACAAGGGGGCTGCAGTTTGCTCACATGGCTCAGGAAACAAATTTTGTCTTTCCCAAAAGGGACTTCCCAGGTGGCTCAATGGTAAAGAGTCTGCCTGCCAATGCAGTAGATGCAGGAGATGTGGATTCGATCCCTGGGTCGGGAAGATCCCCTGGAGGAGAAAATGGCAACCCATTCCAGTATTCTTGCCTGGAGGATCTCATGAACAGAGGAGCCTGGCAGGCTGCAGTCCAAAGGATTGCAAAGAGTCAGACACAGCTGAGCAACTGGGCACACGAAAGACTCGTTCATTGAGGAGGTCTGATTGTCCTTTGGTCACATGATGTCTGGCACTCTCTGGGCTCTGTTGAATGGTGACAAAAGGAGCACTGCTTTTTTACTGAGTTTACAGTGACCACTGTTTACCACTTTCCCGCTTATGCCCCTTGTTTCTTTTGCTGAACCTTGAGAAGGAGGAAAGATACAAAAGTAGTTTATGGACAGAGCCACATAAGCGCTCTCGTGAAGACTAGAACTAGAGATAGCAGATTTGTTATGCCTCATGTCCTAAACACATTTTCTCTTGTCTGAGCCTTTGTTTTTCTGGAAAACTCAAACTGCTTAGAAGATGAGCTGAATGTGTTTGCATAGGCATATGGACAAGATGGACACATCAACCTCAGTTACAGGCTCTGGAGGTCCTAGCCCCTGGTGAATGTGCTAGGATGAGGTAGGTTCTGTGGGCGGTGTCCTACCTCTGAGGGTTTTCTCAGTCTTGAGAGTTTGATATTCTCTTGAGTGTAGGAAGCTCAGACCCAAATCTGGTCACGACAGCCACTGCTCTGACCTCTTTAGGAGTGGCTACAGATCTGGGGGAGGGAATTCCAATTTCGTTAGTCTTCCCTATATTTCTTGTGTTAATAAACCCTTTACCTCTTTCTCCTGGCTGACATATGAGGAGCTCCACAGTAAATTTGCCATGACTTCCACTGAAATTTGACAGTTTTCAAGGTTTTTTTTTCCTTTCTGTATTTAGATGTGGTTATGGTTGCACTGTCAGCCCTTATCTCTTCTGTCATCCAGCCAGCTCCCAACTGGGTTAGAAGGTATTTGCTTTGCTGTCAGTGTTGGCTGCATAATGAGGTGGATGGTTAAGAAATGGGTTGTGTAGTGTCTCTGGAAATCTAAATTTTTTTCCCTGGTTGAGGGGGAAGCAGTATTATTGGAAGAAGGCAGTAGGGAGGCAAATGTTGGCTCTGGTTTCAACGCTTTCTCCTCGGGATCTTGGATAAGCTGAGGAAATCGTTCTTAATTTAAAAGCTTGTTTTATCTGCTGTGTAGGGCTGCTGTTCTGTAATGACAGATCCTAGGTGGCCCCCATAGGCTGCCTGCCTCCTGGCCAGCAGGACCTCATTTTGTTGTGCATGGTCATGAGGAATGCTGCAGGGCAGCAGAAGTAGGAAGGTTTGAAAGCCTGGCTTGGGCATGATGGGTGAATCCAATCTGCCCACCTGCTGTTAGCCTGAGGAGGAGGGGGATTATTTTATTAGATTAGGCTTAGAGGAGGTAGAATAGGAATGGCTTCGTTGGATTGTTACCGGCTGACTGGAGCACTATTTTGAGAAGAATTCTGAGGTTCTCTGGGCTCAAACAGTGTTTTTCCTGTCCTGTGGTTGCAGAGTAGAAAGAGATATCACGTGTTTCACGTTTTTGTCGTTGATGCTCCAGGGCTTCAGGGGTCCCTGGATTATGCTTGGCATTGTGTTGCCGTGAACAACTTGAGTGCTCTTTGAAGACAAGGATAATTTCCTGATGAAATTTAGCTGGAATTTCCTGATAATTCCACTAGAATTGTTGAATTATTTGGAATTAAAGCCATGTGAGAACCAGCTGCCTAGCAAGTCTCAGGGAGTGAGGCTGCCACTGGCAGAGGTCCAGGAACTTTGGGACTATGAGACCAGGGTCCTGAACCTCATGCACTTTAGATCAACATGATGTCACTTTAGGTTTATTCTCCAGTCACTCAGTCATGTCTGACTCTTTGTGACCCCATAGACTGCAGCACACCAGGCTTCCCTGTCCTTCACCGTCTCCCGGATCTTGCTCATGTCCATTGAGTCAGTGATGCCATCCAACCATCTCATCCTCTGTCGCCCCCTTCTCCTCCTGCCTTCAGTCTTCCCCAACATCAGGGTCTTTTCCACTTTAGTTAGTTCCTAATTTAGGTTAGTTAGTCCCTGATTCTGGATTCCAGAACAATCTGTGGTCCTGACTTGTGCAGTGTAGGGGGCGTTCCTCAGCCCACCCTGTTTCTCCACTTCTGTCTAATCACTGCCTTGGCATAGCCTCAGGGAGTTCTTGTTTTCTGGTTGGTTCTTTTGCTGTGGCTGTTCAGGAAGAACTAGACTAGGTACCTACTTTGAGAACGTGGTGTTGTTTGATGTTAACTGCCCTTGGGACTTTGCTTATTCTCCAGCTTTGCCAAATGCAGACAGCAGATTATATACATAGAAAACCAAAACCGAAAAGCAACCAAACAAAAAAACCTAGAGCTTATCTCAGTAGAAGGGACGGCTCCTTTTGTACTATGCTCTGACTGTTTCTGCTGTCTTCTGTCTTCCCTGTGAGGCTGGGATCTCCTCCGAGCACAGGGCTGTCTTCTGTCTCTGTATCCTCTAGCCCAGACACGAGCGAGGTGGATAGGCAGAGGAAAAGAAGGGAGGGGGAGAAGAGGTGGGGGAGGAATGGGGGAGGGGAGAGAGTAAGATCTATATTTAGGGAGACGGAGAGACACGGAGGGTGTGTGAGTGAGCTTGCTGGTGAGGTCTGGGTGTGCGTGAGTGTGCTGGGAAAGGGGGTGTGTGCGCCGGGAGCGAGTGAGGAGGGCTGGCGCCCTATGGGAGGTTGCAGGCAGGAAGCAGCTGGAGAGGAGGAGCGGCAGCTGCCGGAGAGGAGCTGCCCTGCTTTCTGTCTCTGTCTCAGAGCCCGGAATCCGCGGAGTTAGAATTCCACGTCCAAAGTTTGGCTGCTGTAGCCTTCGGCGGGCTGGTCATCAGTATTCCCCCTCGGCAGAGAGGTGTGGACCAGATTGGATTCCTAGATTTGCAGCCAGCAAGACTCCTGCCCAGCCCGTCACTGAGGGAATTTCTCTGCCGGGTATTGTTCCTATCTTCAACTTTGCACCAAGGAGCCAGCCAGCTGGGTGCAGCCAGGAATAATTGCTCCTCAGCTCTCTGTTTGTTGGGTGGGCAAGCAGCTGTGCTGTGGCTTACAGAGTTCACCCTGTGGCTTCTCTGTCAAACCAAGGAGTGCTTCTGAATGGGTTTCCTTTTAGAGACAGCACTCGCATTCTAAAACTTGAGAATTTGTGGTTCTCATGTGTGTGGTTTTTTTTCCCCCTTTTCATTTCTTTAACTCTTATTTTGATTGCAGCAGCAAGGTAAGTGGTGTTGAGTGTATGACTGACTTAATGAGAAGCAGGGACAAAAGCAAAGCATTTGTGGGTGGAATATGGAGCAGCTACATTAATTACATAACTGCATGAGCCAACTTGCTGGTGGGGGTCATTACAAGGAGTGAAAAACAGCATATTCAGCACTGAAGGTAGAATCTTCACGTGCATGTGTTTAGATGCTGATAACCTGACTGTCCATTCCTCCTTGAAACTCTCCTGTATGTATATAAATACCATCCACCCTTTTGTATATGCGCATACCTGTGTACGAAGAATCTGTATCTCTCTCTTGATATGTTCATATGTTTATAAATAACCAGTCCGTTCCTCTCTTGTGTGTTACATATATATATATATATATAGACAACTCATTCATTCATCTTACGTAAATATACACAAGCCATCTTTCCTTTCACGTGCATGCGTATGTATGTTCTTTTATCTCATACATGTATACATATACCTACGTAACCTTCCTATTCTTGTATATGCCTATGTATATTCAGAAACCTTTCCATTTTTCCAACGTGTGAAAGTGTGTTTAAATGTCAATACTGTGCTTCTGTCTAATGTGAGTATTAATTTATCCTCGTGTTTTTACTCTACATATACAAAAGTCGTCTTGAGTTTTCTCAGATTTAAATGTGGACACATGTGGGTAACAGATAACATGTCCACTTGTGTCATGCTTGTGAGATGAACCAAGCACTAACTTTGTAGGTTGAAGCCCCTGTTTTAAATCCCAGCTCACTCAGTGACCTTGGTCAAGGCATTTAAGCTCTCTGAACTTTATTTTCCTCGTTTATGAAATCAGAATAGTAAGTCTTACCTCTTACCTCACAGAACTGTTGTGATGATAAAATGGGAAGCTTGTAAACTGTAAAATTTTAAACAGTTTTACTACTGCAGTGTTTCCCTCTAGCATGAGTTGTGTAGGATTGCACACCTTTGACCCAGCTGCATTGAGACCACGCTCTTGTCTGTGAGAGGTCTCTAAGTCTTCCCTGTGAAGGTGTAGCTTCTGTTGAAGTTATCATATTTTTCTTGTAAGTTTGCCCATAGTATTGGACCTAAGCTACACGGAGCTGCACGGTCTCTAGAAAGAGTCAGGTTGAGAGAGAAAAGGTCTCATTCCCTGCAGGTTTGGGCCTTTGTTCTTTGTAGCCTTGGGGAGGATCTAGCCCATCACCAAATGAAAATACGCTGCTTGGAGCTAGGATCTGAGTGAGCACGTTAAAGGGAGAGTGAAAGAACAGAACATTCTACTGCCTCTGAGATGACAGTCTCTTCTTGGCAGTGAGCATCCACTGCCAGGTTTTAAAGGTTCTCCAGAGTGTCCCACACCCTAACCTTCTAAAACTATGCTGTTCAATGTAGTAGCCACCAGCCACATGTGGTTGTTGAGTGCTTGAAGAGTGGCTAGTTTAAACTGAGATGTGCTGTAAATGGAAGATCCATACCAGAGTTCAAGGACTCAGTATGAAAAACAGAATGCCTATATATGATGATATTTTTAGATTGATTTTGTGTTGAAAGAATAATACCTTGGATAATGGGTGAAATCAAATACATTAAAATTAATTTTACCTGTTTCTTTTTATTTTTGCAGCTGCTAGAAATGTTTAAAATTATATATGTGGCTCACATTCTATTTCTGTTGAACAGTGTGGTTCTAGACCCACCATCAGCACAAGGATGAAGGCAGCTCTTCCAGCTAGAGGGCAAGTGGAAGCCCCGTGACGGCAACCCTAGGGAGGACACACAGGGTCTGTCTCTACCAGTCTTCTATTCTGGAGGGATGCCAGCTAACTGACGGTCTGGCAGAAGCTGGTGCTGCCAGTACTCTCTTTATTTGTCCTGAGTGAGTGTCCCCCCCCAAATTGTGAGCAAGTATATTTGGGGAGAAGTTTCCAGCTTAGTTTTACAATGGAAGGGGATTGTAAGCCATCCATCTGTAAGAAAATCTAGAACTCAAAGGAAGTATGTTTTTATGGGAACAGAAATGGACTAGAAAGCAGAACACTTGGATTCTAAATCATCTCTGCCATCACTTACTTATTCCTCCCAGGGCACTGAGTTCTCACTGTGTGCTGTGCTATATGCTTGGCATAGTAATGGCCTGTACTTGGCATTAGAAATTAAACCACAAACAAGGCACGGTTTTCAATGTAATGGAGTTCACGCTCACTTAGGCGAGAGCCTCCCACTTAGGTGTCTGCCAAAGTAAAATAGATTAACAACAAGGGTGTCGTTCTAGGCCAGGTATTACAAACTTGGGTAATTGGGCTTTTGAGAAGCCTGTATGTTCACTCCCCTCCCTAAAGACTTTCAAATTTGAAATTTAGAAAAATGTTTGATAGCCAAACAAAACTAGCCCATAGGCTAGGTCATAATGTGGTCTGAGATTCCAGGCCTTGATAAACCTAAAGAACTCTTCCAACTCTAGCATTTTCTGATTTTGTGTCCTGGATCCGTTTATTTAATGGCAAGATTTATTTTGTTTTAGTTTGAGCATCATATATGCCAGGCACCGTACTAAGTGCTAAGGCTGCAGCAATGAACAAAACAGAGTCCTTGCCCACATTCTAGGATAGAGGCTGGGGAGAAAGACAGGTGATAAACAGACAAATATGTGGTCTATCTGGTGGTAGTACCAATAAGTTCTGTGAAGAAACTAGAGCAGAGTGAGAGGATAAAGAATGTGGAGGTGCAGGGGGTGGATAGGAGGGTGTTCGGGGGCTAGAGTCCTACTCACATGCCATCTTCAGTTTGTTCACAGGAGTCCTAGGTAGTAAAGAAAAAGAACATGGTGAGTGCTTAAGAAAAAAGTTGTTCTGGTTCTTGTTAGAAATGGTAAGACAGACTTTATTCAGGGGGGGGGGGGGCGGGGTCTATTATTCTGCAGTATTGTAAGGGGAGAAAGATTGAGCCCAACTCTGAATGCAAGTGAGAATTTTTAGCCAAGGAACAGGGAGAGGGTCAGTGGATGGAAAATGACTAAGAGGAAGCATCAGGGGAAGAGAGGCATCTGGTTAAATGGACTTGACAGGATTTTTGCTGGAATCAGGCCAGGGTGAGGGATAAGGAATTTGGTCTGATATCAAAGGTGGGGAATTTTCACTAAACTGACCCGGCGAGATTCTTGCTAAAATTGGACTAAACAGAGTCTAAGGACAGTGGCCTAGTCACAAAGAGTATTCAAAGAAGCCTAACTTGAGTTTGGACAGAGTCTTTGGCATGAGCATCCGAGTCTAGGTACATATGTATTTGTTTTACGGTTTGTGAGACTCTTCGGTGTAATAAACCCTGGTCCCGCTGACAGGGAACCCTGGGAAGGGCACAGAATACCCAGCTCCCCTGACGGCTATTCAGTCTTCACTCTGGGGTCTTGATGTACCAGCCCGCAGAAGGCAGCATGCTTTTCCGCGCTACCGTACATCCCCTGCGGGTCTGTCTGCCTTCTTGGATGCAGCGCTTGAAGTATTCTTTCTGTTACATGTCTAGCTTCTGGCCAATAAATGGAGGTCCTCCTGAGGTGGGCGAGGAGGGCTGGCAACTACAGTCCAGGGCCTTTGTTGTTGTTGTTTAGTCGCTAAGTCATGCTGGACTCTTGGCAACCGCATGGACTGCAGTCTGCCAGGTGTCCCTGTCCTCCACCATCTCCCAGAATTTGTTCAAACTCAGGGACCTTGCTACGCATTTGAGGAGCATTCTTCATTCCCTTTGACTAATCTCAGCCTTTGTACCTTGTGACCCTGATCATTGTGTCTGACAAGATTCTCTGTGAGCATTGATTACTTCTCAAAGATTAACATCATAAGAGTACCCCTATCTGCCTTGGGCCTGGAAATTCATTTCCCACCATATTAGCCATAGAGCATTATTGGTGAATGGCCCAGGAATGATCTGACTTCCGTGAGTGATACGGGGGAGGTAGGTAGGAGACAGAGCGCTTGGCTTTCTGCCTTCTGTGCTTGTTTCACACAAAATGAGAGGCTGCTTGGTATCTGTACAAAGAGCCCTGGCCTATTCCCAGGGGTCTCCCCACTGTTTCCTCCAAGCCAAGATTTGGGTCAGAAGCAATTTTACAAGGAATACTCACATTCCTAATGACATTTATTTGATAAGGCAGAGAGAGATGAAAGAACCAGGCATTTCAGAAAGCCGAGAGCTTTTTTCCTCTTGACTCTTTTTGGCAGGCTGGTGCTGATGCGGTGTGATATAAGGGTCTCCTCTCTGACATAGTTCTCAGCTTTCCATCATTGAAACTTTGTTCCTTTTGATTAATTCATTTTGTTTTGGTATGTTCCCTTTTCAAAAGCAGGTATTCCCTGAAAGGGCCACTTTATTCTTCGCAGCCTTAGGCATTCCTTAGGAAAAGACTGCAGAAAGATATGGTCATTTTCAAGGCTGTACATATGAAAACTTGGAGAGTTGACTCGAGTGGATAGGGCAGCATGACACCACTGTGTACCTCGAAGGAAACTAGAAGGCTGACTTGGAGCTGGTTGGGCCCCAAGGCCTCCTTATGCCTTTCCAGTTCAAGTTCAGTTCAGTTGAGTCACTCAGTTGTGTCTGACTCTTTGTGACCCCATGAACCACAGCACGCCAGGCCTCCCTGTCCATCACCAACTCCCGGAGTCCACCCAAACCCATGTCCATTGAGTCGATGATGCCATCCAACTATCTCATCCTCCCGCCCTCAGTCTTTCCCAGCTTCAGGGTCTTTTCCAATGAGTCAGTTCTTCGCATCAGGTGACCAAAGTATTGGAGTTTCAGCTTTAGAATCAGTCCTTCGAATGAACATTCAGGACTGATTTCCTTTAGGATGGACTGGTTGAATCTCCTTGCAATCCAAGACTCTCAAGAGTCTTCTCCAACACCACAGTTGAAAAGCATGAGTTCTTTGGCGCTCAGCTTTCTTCACAGTCCAACTCTCACATCCATAGATGACCACTGGAAAAACAATAGCCTTGGCTAGACGGACGTTTGTTGACAAAATAATGTCTCTGCTTTTTAATATGCTGTCTAGGTTGGTTATAACTTTCCTTCCAAGGAGTAAGCGTCTTTTAAATTCATGGCTGCAGTCACCATCTGCAGTGATTTTGGAGCCCAGAAAAATAAAGTCAGCCACTGTGTCCACTGTTTCCCCATCTATTTGCCATGAAGTGATGGGACCAGATGCCATGATCTTAGTTTTCTGAATGTTGAGCTTTAAGCCAACTTTTTCACTCTCCTCTTTCACTTTCATCAAGAGGCTCTTTAGTTCTTCACTTTCTGCCATAAGGGTGGTGTCATCTGCATATCTGAGGTTATTGATATTTCTCCCGACAATCTTGATTCCAGCTTGTGCTTCTTCCAGCCCAGCGTTTCCAGTTCAAGTATTCTTCCCCCACCCCCACCCCCAAATGTTACTTCTTGGTGGCCTTTCCTGTCCTGCTTTTGCTGGACTTCCCATCAACTTCCCATTCCCCACCCTGGAATTAGGTGCTCGCTTTTCTATTACAACTTCTATTATAACGTGTATCACTTTGTGATAGTTTATATGTCTAACTTTGTTTCCAAACTTTAATATATTAGAGACCAGGAACTGTGTCTTCTATTCCTAGCTCATAGTTTAGTGCCTGGAACATTGATTGAATTGATTTAGAGATCAACTGTTTTACTCACACCTTGGCCCTGGTTATCCCATTCCTGTGGACAGCAGTAGCTAAGAAAGGCTGAAGAAGGAGGTGGTCTTGAGCCGGACATCCTGGCTCTTCTGGTTGCCCTTTCAGCCCATCCTGTCTCCTGGTATCCCATGGCGTTCTGAGCAGAGTGACTGGTTCATCCTCTGGGCATCACAGTGAGCTCTGTCCCCTGTTTCCAAACCTAAATAGGTGGACGACTGAGTGGCTTTGGTGCCTTTAGAGAACCCATGTCCCTAGGAGGTGATTCTTAAGTTCAGAGTTCATCTGGGAGCTGCGGCTACCAATTCAGAAGAAGGTTTAGAGGGTTTTGTTTATTTAGTATGAACACAAGCATCTTTGTTTGAGCCCAGGAGGAGCTGCTCTGGGAGCTCTAGCTGGAAATTTCCTAATTGTCGCTGGTGTATTTTAAATAGGAAAGCAGGCTCCTCCGCCTTTAGACCTTCAGGATGCCACAGGAAAAGGCTCTGGACGGCAGCAGCTATGCCCTTGGTCCCCTGTGTGGCTGGCCAGCCCGTGGTGTAGGCCCTGCACTCTCGGACCTGGCAAGACTGTCCAGGAAGTTAGGCCAGGCCCACCTGGAATACTGATCTGATGGGCAAAAGCAGGTTGGCCCAAAGTTAACCTGGCCTGTGCTGAAGCAATAGCAGGACAGTCAGCTTCAGTGTTGTTCCTGGAAAACTGCCTCCTCTAGACCGGAGTGGGGCCAGCTGTGGAGGACCTGGCAGTGGGTTCTGGGCCTCGCTAGCATTAGAAAGGAAGACTTGGCCCATGTAGCTGTTTTTCCCCTTCCTCGTGCTTTCAGGCTGCCTGAGGGAGGGTGGCAAGCATCCTGTCACCTGAATGAAGTGTTGGAAGTGAATATTTTGCTCTTCCCTTTTCTTACCTTCCAAAGAAAACTTCTAGAGGAAAGATCGACAAAGAGGGACGGTGTAACGGTTGTCATCCAGGCCTTGCTGCAGACTGTTAGAAGACACTGGGAGAGCTAGGGGTCTGGGGCTGGGATAGAAGTCATGGTTCGCTCAAATCATACCATTTAGGCAACTGCACACTAGGCTTAGACACTGGTTTCCCTGCTTCTTTGTTGCAGGGTCCTGCCATGTCAGTAATAATAACTGTACTCTGGTGCTGTGCAGTTTACCAGTTACCAGTCTCTCATTTTATAGCATCTCCGTGGTGACCTCCCTCACTTTACAGATAAGGAAACTAAGGCACAGAGAGGAGAAGTGTTTAATCCAAGGTCACTGGTGAAGCAAGACTCAAACTTAATGTCTGGGGATGTTCAGCCTAGTACCACTTGATCGTGGCTCATACTCAGAGCTTCCATCTTGGCTTAGTAAACAGTCTTTCTCCTCTGAGAAGAGCTTGAAAAGCAAATTGCCAGCTCTAGTCCATCAGGCTGGGGACATGATTTAAAGCTAATACTGGGTACCGAGACCAAATCAGGGTGCCTAGACCTTGCACCTTAGTGGAAAAGAGGGGTGGCTTTGGAAATGTAGATTTTGTTCTTTTGGAAGGAGAGAAGTAAGAATTTGAGTCATTCCTGGAATTGGGGGCTTTGATGTCTAGGCAACTGGATCTCTAGATCCGAGACTCAGGAGTTCTGACTGTGCATGTACTGTCTGTCTGTCTGTGTATCTGTCTCTCTCTCTCTCACACACACACAGAGCCTAGATTGAGTTGACCACATTACGGGTATGGCTGATCCTGACCCCTTGAAACATTGAAGTAAAGCAGTAATGCTTAAAAAGCAATAATTAGGCCTCTCCAGTGCCTCACAGGATGGTTGGAGTTCTTAAATGAAGAATTCCTTGATGAAGTAAGAGTTTTTACATGAGCTAGAGAGAAGAAGGGAAGAAATGAAAAGGAAATTAATCTAGTCTCTTGATCCTTGGCCTAGTTATTTCCGGTAAAAGAGGTCGGCTTCATCTTTATTTCAAGTCTTGGGACTTGTTCTTCTGTTCTTAGTCTGGAGAAGTCCAGCGCTTTTCATTTTCAGACCCACAGACTGTAGTCAGTGGTCTTCCCCACAAATGATGCTGTGGGAGCGGTCAGCTTGTGTTCTTCACAGCCAGTTTTCACTTTCTAGGGTTCACTTGAGTTAGAAGGAGGCAGGGGTGTTAGAAGATGTAGAAATCTAGGTCAAATCTAGAAAATAGAGAAACCGTCTCCAGTTGAAGAACAGGAAGGGTAGCGTGTCTCCCACCAACCTCTCTGACCCATCCCCAGCTGACCCGGCAGAGCCAGAGAGCACTGGCGGTCCCATGCACTCCTGGGCTCTCTATTTCACTTGTCCTTTCCCCTCTGCTCCTTCCCTGCATTCTGCATTTTTCCAGTAAAAAGGGAATGGATTCCCACCCCGCCACCCCCTAGAAGGTAACAGTCATCTCCGTGAGTTACAGTCACTGGTAGCTTAGTATTTAGGGGCAAGACTGGTGGCAGGTCTCTTTTCACCTTTTTGGAGAACAGCAGAGCACCCTGGAACCCTCTCCAAAGTAACCAACTCCCCACCGGCCACATGTGTTGTTCTCTCCAGGCCATTCAGAGGGTTCGAGCAGTGCTCTGTTACTCCAGCAAAGACAGCTAGGAAATCACTTTCTTGTCATGGTCCTTTCTCCAAGTGAAGAGTTGCTATCACTAAACAGAGGGAAAACACTTTGTGTTATAAGCACAGGCGGGAGCAAACCTTTAAGTAGCTGAGTCTTCACTGGAACAACAAACTGGAGGGGAAGAAAAAGAAACATTCCATGCCTTGTCTGTTACTGTGTGTGTGGTTTGAGCTTTGGTGGTTAAACATCTGTGTGTTTGTTGCTGAGCCTCATGTTGAATTTGTAAAGGTTCAGTCTCTGTCCAGTTCATCCCACCTGTTTCCCAGGAGTGTTTCAATCCTGATGCCTTTGGCATCAGCCCTTGCTCACAACACAAGGGCTTGATCTGATTTTACATCAAAACTGATGGGAAGCCAAGGAGAGAGAGAGAAGTGACTGCCTGCAACCTTTAAAGCTAGCCTTGGGAGGCAGGTCACTGTTGACTCCTAGAGTCTTAGAAGGTAATGTTCTTACTCCTTCTTGACAGCTTGATTCATATTACCATGCTGCCTTCTGATCCAAGCACACTATTTTCCTTTTTCGCTAGCTGCAGGGTAAGAGTCAAACCAGGATCCAGGGACATGTGCCAGGTTTGAGACCACACATGGGACCATCCCAGGCATCACTGTGGGCCAAGCCCCAGGCATCAGCCATCAATAATTGCTAAAAATAGACGGAAAAGAGCAGGTCAGGATATTGCCTTCTAAGACAATCTCTATTAACCATCCTGACCAGAAGCAAGAGGAACAAGCTTGAGAATCCCTCAGACCCTGAGGGAGAAAATGAAGCGATTGTTGCAAGAGTCAGAGGAAGAAATCATGGTCACCTTGGGATCCTCCTCCAGGCTTTCCCCAGATAAAGCTAAGGCAGAGACTGTGTGTGGCATCAAGAGCAAGTCCTCAGGCCCTGCCGGAACCTTGCCAGAGGACAGCTTCCTGCCCCCTCACTGTGGGCCTGTAGCCTCTGCCATTGGTAGGGATACAGATGGGGGCCTGGCCCAGCGTTGCAGCTTCGGGCAGCAGGCCAGTGGCCAGCTTCCTCTGGGTTCCACAGCCTGTGTTTCAGGGTCTGCCTCTCAGGACCTCTCATCTGCCAGCATTACCACAAGCTGTCCAGAGCCCTCAGAGAGGGATCAAGCCAAGCCCCTCTTGTCCAGAGGCCTTGGCCAAGGCTGTCGCCATGAACAGCAAGAACCTTTGGGAGATGTAGTGGACTATATCATCAGAGAGCTGCAGGGTATCAGCCGTCTCCAAACTGAGATTGCTGAGTTGCGGCAGCACTTGAGCCAAGTCCGAGGTTCAGTGGATGAGGTCTCTAGCTGTGTAGACTCAGTTCTTAGTGAAATAGAAGGCTTGCATGTGGGCAGCAGTTCCCTGGCCAAAGGGTGTGGTGGAGGGAAGGCCCAGGAACCCCATGTGGACAGACCCAGTGAGGAAGCCATTCTTTATCTGTATGGACTTCCTGAGCAAGATGGGGAAAATACCATGGAGCTGGCTCACAACTTCCTGGCCAAGCACATGTGTGTTAATGGCATGCAGTGCAATAGGTTCATTAAAGAGGCTTACCGAGCTGGCAGAAGCCCAGCTCCCAGGCCTACTGTTGTGAAGCTTGCCCATCTAGAGCATCGGGACCTCATACTGCAGAAATCCATCCTCTTGCAGAGTTTAGGGGTCCGGATCGCCACCAGAGAAGAACCAAGCCAGCCACCATGCTCTAAGAATCCCCCAAAGGAGTCTCTCTCATCTTTGGAACAACAACTCCAGCATCACAATTTGAATTCTTTACACCTGGATAAGCCAGTTTTTCCGGTGGAAACAGGGGACAGAGGACCAATAACAGGAGCACATCTAATGAGGGTTCAGAATCAACATAGAGAACCCCAGAGCCCTGAACAGCAAGGCCTTTGCTTCCCACCCAAGAATGATTTGGCAAAGCCAAGCAATGAGTCTAAGCCAGGGGGTGAAGTCAGAGGAACATCAGGAAACCCCCAAGTTCTCAGGAGCTCCTGCAATGAATTGACAGGAAGAGAGGCTTCTTTGTCCACCCTCCATCAGTGTGAGGAACCTTCCCTAGTGTTAATCTCGAAAGAGGAGGATTCTGGGAAATCCCAGGTTTTCAAACAGTGTAACCTGGGACCTAAAGCAGCAAAACTAGAAAACAACCACAGTGACAAAAGTGAGACCGGCAGTTGCCTATCACTGTCTGAGTTGCTGAAGGCAGAGGACCAACTCCTGGCCTGTGAAGCTGGTTTGGGTATTCTGAGCTCAAAGCAGCTAGAGGACCTCTTGACAGACAAGTCCAGAAGGTTTGCAACTCTGAGCTGTGACAGCCTGATGGAGGAAATCAGCATTGGGCCCGAGACTTTCAGTGACATGGTTCATATTGACTTGAATGAAGAGGAGGAGCATGCCGCTCAGGTCCTCAAAGATGTCTTGGAAAAGTCCTCTCGCCTGGGTGACTTGCAGGAGGACGAAGATGTAGAGATCAAGTTTTACACGAGTAAACTGGGTCGAGCGATTGACCACTTTCGTTCAGCTTTGCAGGGAGTGTTTCAGAAGCTGGAGAACAGTGGGTCCATCACCCCTGAGGACCTTGAAAGCATTGAGAGTGGCTCCCAGTCCGAGAACAGTGATAGACTTCTTGGCACAGTGAGTTCAAGGGGTGCTCAGGATTTCTCACTGGGGAGCCCCGGGAGTCAGGGGAGTGAGAGCATACTCAGCGTGGTGTCTGGTGGAGTGGGCATCTCTGCCCAGGGAGACCAGGCCTCTCAGGATCCCAGCAACTCCTCTCCAGCTTCCAGTAACTTGCCTCTTGCATATTCATCACCAGGGTTTGCTCTGGCTCCGTGTCTGGGAAGTGAAACTTGTTCCAGGCCTGAATCTCCGAAACAGGGCAGGCTAAGCCTAGAGCAAATGTGCACGGAGACCATCTACCTCAACAGATGCATCAGCAATTTTAAAGATGTTCTAAGAGAGAAAAGACTGAGGCAGAAAAAACTTATACACGAGCTAGAACAGAAGACAGACCATCTCTCAGTAGAAGACACGCACCCAGGTATTTCAAGTCTCTGGTGAATGGGTTTGCAGCTGGCTGGGTGTGTCCTGAATCAGGCCGGCATGAGATCCGGCTTGGTGGTGAGCTTCACAGGGTGATGGGAGAGGTTCACATCTTCAATCAGGCTCAATTACTGGGGTATAGATTCATAAGTTGACCCTGTGGGAATCGGAGCGACAGAATTGAAAAGTGACAGAAAGAGAGTTCTTGTCCATAGGGAGCTTCCAGTTTATCGGCAGGAGCTTTGGCAAGTGCCTTTTCAGAGAGGAAGAGCGTTTGGGCAAAGATAGTTCATAGCTGCAGACCTTTAGGCTATCCTGATGTAAAGTGGCTGTGGGGTAGGGGGCAGGAATGAGGGAAAGAGGCATGTTTCTCATAGGAGCTAAGATGCTGATGCAATCCTGTGTTGCATTTCAAAATCATTCTCCATGAGCTTCTTGCTGAGATAAGATTGCCATTTCTCCAGCAGCTGATGGGGCTTCTCCACCTTGTGGGCCACTGTGGGAATTTCCCTTACCCTGACCCCCGTACTGGAGTTGACAGGACAGAACCTTAGTTCTAACTCGGAGCTGTCCAGAAACTTCTTGCAGCGCTGACCCTGCCCAAGAGCCCGACTCTGCTCCCCCCAGTCACATTCCCTTTGTTACATCTCCAGTTAAAGGCTGCTTACCTAACATTTAGACAGTGGAATGGTTTTTGGCTACAAGAATTGGGAAAAGTCTTTTCTGGGCAGCATGGAGATGACATGTAGCTTTAAAATTACTTCTCCCAATCAAAAATATAATAAGTTTATCCAAAGAGCATATGCTTTATTCATCTAATTTTAAATGTAAATGAGGTTGTCCTCTTATGCGTATAACCTGATTAATCTTTCTAAGGCAAGATTAAAATTATGAAACATATTGTGTTGGCAGAGATGTGAGAGAACAGGTACTCATCCATTGTGGTGCATGGGAGTGGAAATTGGTATAACCTCTGAGGAAGGCAGTTGGCAACATGCATCAGAATTATGTATGCCCTTTGAGGCCCAGCACTACTTCCAAGAATATATCCTGCTGGTACATTTTCACCTGTAGAAGGGACATATGTTCAAGGCTGTTTCTGAGGTATTGTTTTTAATAGTGAAGATTGAAAACAACCTAAATGTTCTTAAGAAAGGCTGGTTAAATAACTTACTGGCACATCCAAATGATGAAATACAGTACCATGCAGCTGTAAAAAGAAAGGTACCTCTTTACTGAAATGGAAAGATATATTGACATATTTCAGAAAACAAGGTGCAGAACAGTATGTATAAGATGCTTTGTTGTTGTTGGTTAGTCGCTAAGTCGTGTCAGACTCTTTTGCAACCCCATGGAATATAGCCCATCAGGCTCCTCTGTCCATGGGATTCTCCAGGCAAGAATAATGGAGTGGATTGCCATTTCCTACTCCAGGGGAATCCCTGACTCAGGAATCAAGCCTGTGTCTTCTGCATTGGCAGGTGGATTTTTTTTTTTTTAAACCACTGAGCCACCAGGGAAGCCCATATATTTGTATAAAAAGGAGAGATGAAGAATACATACACAAACCCGTAGTGTGTGTTTGTATGTATGTATAGAATATTTAACACAGGAGTTCCCTAGTGACCTAGTGGTTAGGATTCTGGGCTTTCATTGCTGTTGCCCTGACTCAGGAATCAAGCCTGTGTCTTCTGCATTGGCAGGTGGATTTTTTTTTTTTTTAAACCACTGAGCCACCAGGGAAGCCCATATATTTGTATAAAAAGGAGAGATGAAGAATACATACATAAACCCGTAGTGTGTGTTTGTATGTATGTGTAGAATATTTAACACAGGAGTTCCCTAGTGACCTAGTGGTTAGGATTCTGGGCTTTCATTGCTGTTGCCCTGACTCAGTCCCTGGCCAGGGAACTGAGATCTTGCAAGCCACTTGGCATGGCCAAAAGACAACAACCACCACCACCCAGCTAACCAACCAAACAAAAAACCACTAAGATACATAAGAAACTGGTACAGGATTGCCCATGGGAAAAGGTATTAGGTAAAAAACTAGTGAAATGAGGAGATTCTTTTTTACTGTATACACTTTAAATAATTTTTAGAATTTGAATCATGACTATGTCATCATAAAATTAAACTGGAGGATTAAAATCCTGTTCCTTTCAAATATCCCTAGAGCTGCTCTTGATACCCTATCAAAAAGTCTCAATTCCTTCACTTAGCATTCAAGGCCACTACACCTGGTCTCTAGTTTACATTTCTAGGCTTATCTTCTGTTGTCCCACGGTCCTCCCCCTGGAAGGAACCTTCTGTCTCACAAATTCACCTTGCACTTTGTTTTCAGCATACCACATATACATGCTTCCTTCTAGCTTGAGGTGTTATGTTTGCCACATCAATCTAGGAAAATTTACTCAGTTCTTCAGCATACAGCCAAAGTTTCACCTCCTCCAGGAAGCTTTCTATAATTCCTCAGATACAAGGGGTTTTGAACTCTCTTTAACTTTGCAGCCCCTTTTCTTTCTTCCTGGGCACTTAGAAATTTTTATATTGGATTGGCCAAAAAGCTCATTCATGTTTTTTCTATAAAATGTTACAGAAAACTCCAAATTAACTTTTTGGCCAACCCAATATTGCAGCAACAGTAGAAACAACTCATATCAAAGCACTACTTCCTTACTAACTCTTTTAGCTGTGGTGGGAGTCAATGTTAGCCTGAACATCCAGAACCCTGGGGTTCAGTTCTTCAAGTTGCAGTATTTCTCTTCTGGGCAGCCATCATACTGGACCATGCAGGAACTTGTGGCAGCAGCAAGAATGAGAAGGAAGTGTTCTGAAACGCCAGTAAGAGATCAGGCCAGAATCCTGGGTGCTTTCCAAGATCCACTCTGGTCTGTGGGCTACAGATGGGGTGGCAGAGAGGCTGTCGGGCAGTGGCAGCATCCCTTCAGTGCTAGATCCCGCCTGACTGCAGCACCATGCCTTAAAGCCCAGGGAACAGAGCAAGGTGAATAAGCACACAGGCAGGCCTCTGGCCAACACAGTAGAGTCCACAGGAGCAGTCACCCTAACCTGGTAAACTGATTCAATAGTGACTGCTACCACAAGAGAGATTTGAAAAAAGCTTTCTTCACTGCTCTGCTTGAGACCTTTTACAGCCTAAGCTTACTCAGAACAGTGTTTTCAAAAGTGACCAGTGTTGTAACACACATGGGTGCTTCATTTCTTTTTGTGGCTGAATACTATTCCATTATGCGGATACAGCACATTTTGTTCATACATTCATCAGTTGATGGACATTTTGTTGTGCTTTGTTGTTGGTATTGTTGTTGTTTTACCATGTTTTTGGCTATTATGAATAATGTTGTTTTTGTGTGGACATATATTCTGTGTAATACCTAGAAAGGGAACACTGGGTCATGTGGTAACTGTGTTTCAGATTTTTTTGGAACTTATAGACTGTTTACCAATGTGGTTGCACCATTTTGCATTTCTGCCAGCAGTGTATGCAAGTTCAAATTTCTCCACATCCTAGCCATTCTATTTTTATTAGAGCCATCCCAGTGAGTGTGACTGGTATCTTCTAGCTTTGATTTTCATTTCCCTAGTGGCTAATGATGTTAAAACATCTTTTCATATGCTTATTGGCCATTTTTATATTTTCTTTGAAGAATGTCTATTTATCCTTTATCCATTTTGAAGTTGAGTTGTTTGTCTTTTTCTGTCAAGTTGTAAGAGTTGTTTATATGTTCTGGACATCAGTTCAGTTGCTAAGTCATATCTGACTCTCTGCGACCCCCTGGAATGCAGCACGCCAGGGTTCCCTGTCCGTCACCAGCTCCCGGAGCTTGCTCAAACTCGTACATTAATTCACTGATGCCATCCAACCATCTCATCCTCTGTCGTCCTTTTCTCCTCCTGCCTTCAATCTTTCCCAGCATCAGGGTCTTTTCCAATGAGTCATTTCTTCGCCTCAGGTAGCCAAAGTATTGGAGTTTCAGCTTCAGTATCAGTCCTTTCAATGAATATTCTGACTGATTTCCTTTAGGACTGACTGGTTTGATCTCCTTGCAGTCCAAGGAATTCTCACTCCAACACCACAGTTCAAAAGCATCAATTCTTTGGCCCTTAACTTTCCTTATAGTCCATCTCTAACATCCATACATGACTACTGGAGAAAAACTATAGCTTTGACTAGACAGACCTTTGTTGGCAAAGTAATGTCTCTGCTTTTTAATGTGCTATCTATGTTGGTCATAGCTTTTCTTCTAAGGAGCAAGCGTCTTGTAATTTCATGAATGCAGTCACCATCTGCAGTGATTTTGGAGCCCAAGAAAATAAAGTCTGTCACTGTTTCCCTTGTTTCTCCGTCTGTTTGCCATGGAGTGATGTGACTGGATGATCTTAGCTTTTTGAATGTTGAATTTTAGGCCAGCTTTTTCACTCTCCTCTTTCACTTTCATCAAGAGGCTCTTTAGTCCCTCTTCACTTTCTACCACATGAGTGGTGTTATCTGCGTACCTGAGATGTATCTGAGATTATTGATATTTCTCCCAGCAATCTTGATTCCAGCTTGTGCTTCATCCAGCCTGGCATTTCGCATGATGTACTCTGCATATAAGTTAAATAAGCAGGGTGACAGTGTATAGCCTTGACATACTCCTTTCCTGATTTGGAACCAGTCTGTTGTTCCATGTCCAGTTCTAACTGTTGCTTTTTGACCTGCATACAGTTTTCTTGGCAGGCAGGTCAGGTGGTCTGGTAGTCCCATCTCTTAAACAATTTTCCACAGTTTGTCATGATCTACACAATCAAAGGCTTTGGTATAATCAATAAAGCAAAAGTAGATGTTTTTCTGAAACTATCTTCCTTTTTCAATAATCCAACAGATGTTGGCAATTTGATCTGTTTCCTCTGCCTTTTCTAAATCCAGCTTGAACATATGGAAGTTCTCGCTTCACTATTGAAGCCTGGCTTGGAGAATTTTGAGCATTACCT